GGGGGGGGAGGAAGGGAAAGGAAAAAGAAAGAAAGAGCACTGCACTTTAAAAAAATGAGGAACCACAATTTTCTTTGTTTACTCCCTTCCTCCAACAGGAGTGGGATGCTCTGAAAGGTTTTGATGGAGAGGGGCCAGGGGGAAGCAAATCATGAATATACATAACTGCCTGTTTACCTGGAAGCCTCTTTCACTTACGTGATTCAAACTCTTTTACAGCAAGCAGTTTCTCCGACTGTGTTCTTTCAGGGTGAGTTTTCTAGCAATAAGGGATAAAAAAAACCAACAATTGTATTGTTTTAAGTTAGCAGTTTTGTCTACTCATGCATAAGCTAGGAACTCCCACCTGCAAGACAAACCCAATCCACACCATATAGACTTTACAGAAGTTGATGAACAGCAATCAGTTAAACTAACTGACCTTAGTAAAGCCATAGAAATATTCTCTCTGCAACCAAATTAGGCAGCCAAGGATTAACTCCTATCAAATTTATATACATAAACTGAAGAGTGTTTTAAATATGTCATTTACTTTGTTCTAGACACCCCGAAAGCCGCTAACAATAGCGAGCAGGCAGGAGACAGGCTTTGCTTTGAGGGAAGTGAATAAACTGACTGTTGACAGAGTTCAAAAGCAATGCTCCATTGTTGGCCTAAGGCCACTTCTTTGTAATCTTGGCCATTAAATATGGCTTTGCAGGTGGCCCAGCAGCTGAGGTTCAGGGACTAGGCTTTGCATATTTAGCTTTTATATGACATGTAGCATTCTCCCCCCTCCCTGTAAACGATAAAAGCACAAATTTACTCCAATGACTTTTTGTCATTAAACATTTGATTTTGTTTATGGATCACCACTAAACCATGCTTTAATTAAGTCACACACATATACACATCTACACATGCAGCAAGTATGCAGCTACCTTCGCAGCAGGTCACCAAAATCCTTGCTCTATACAGTATCCAGATTGCCCTTGTCACATAAGCAGACCTCAATCACACAAATGTGCTTCAAAGAGGATTTGTTTTTGCAGAGAGAGTTTAGGGCTTTATAAAGATACACAGCACAATAACCTTGAAACTCATGAATCCCGTCCTCTCCCTGTAAGCACTTGTGTTATCCTCAGCATCCATTCAGTTAGGAAACACTGAACTGGAGGTTGATAATGCAATCTTATTTCTTTACCAGCAATATTCTTTCTCTCCCAAAGACCAAGGCCTGAGATTTCTCTCTCAGTCTCTGGTTTTCACCAGTTATCTCCTGTAATCATACACATTCATGCCTGAATGCCTCAGAGGTGTTCTCAGCTCACAAATGTACTGGGAGTTACACACTACACAATGCTATGCAGATGTAGCTGAAATACAGAACAGGCAACTGCTTCATAAAGACCTGCATAGAGGTAACACTAGAAGCATTCCTTGGAATTGTATACCAAGTCTCATTCTTCCTTCTCTTCACCAACGTGGCCTTGGTACTAGCCCACACGTGTAACCAAGAGCTCCAATCTACCAGAATGCAGGCTGAAACACCATGCACATTGTGAAACTACCAGTAAACCTTTCCAGACTCTGTTCAACAGCACCCTGGCCAAAGGTTATAGCTATGCAGCTTAAAAAACCTCATGCCATCTCCCTCCAAAAGTCTCTGGCTGGACTATGGTGGCCCTGATGCTGCTGCAGTAGTCTGATGGTCAGTTCATTCATCTGCTCATGTGCTACAGGAAGCAAGTATGTGTGTGCTTTGCAGGGACAGTCACTGTTGGTCAACTGTCATTTTCCTGCCTTCCCTGGCACCCAGAGTAGGAACATATCTCTCAAGTTTAGCCTCCTGCTCACCTGCTTGGCAAGGATCCTCGCTGTTAGCCTCACAGTCTCCGAGGGATTCCAGTTCTGCCCAAAAGCACACATAGCAGAACACTCCAGCTTGTGCATTGGCCAGTCTTCCTTCTGAAAATGTAGAAAAAAAGAAAAAAAAAAAAAAAAAGCAAGCCATGAAGACAAAGTGATGAAAAAGAGGATGCAGCAAGTCCTGCCACATCCTAGAGGTCAAGAGAAATATGTTTCCTTTAACAAAATAAGATGACGCTCACTAAATCTGAACAAAAGCTGGAGTCACATTTAAGGGGTGCAGCTATCCTGCTTTGTTCCAACAAATCCACAAGGGATGAGTTAAGGTCAGAACATCTTCATTTATTCAACAGAAAAAAAAAAAAGAAAGAATGAAATGACAAAGAAGCAAACAGACAACATGATTCATAAATCACCAGTTCTTATTGTTCAGATCAAGCACGTGAGGACAGAGGAGGTCTGAGCTTGATGGCTTTATTGGGTTCATTTCCATTTAATACCTTGGCCCCTCATTACAAGGCGACCCTGGTGTAATCAGGAGTAATGCATCTAAAGTCAATGGATTCACAATCGCTGTAAGAATCGGTACATGGAAGGTCAGAACCAGACCTACTGAATTGAATTATCAGATTGTTTCCTTAGATGTTGTAGAATAAGAGTATAACTAGGCAATAAAAACACGCTAATAAAGACAAACTGGTTTCACTTAAGAATGTTTAGCATATTCCTAACTCAACATACAGTAACACTTGAAGCTATGGTACAAGCCACTGGCTTCTGGCACTCTACAGATTTCCTCCAAAGCAGCAGAATCTTTCAAAGATGAGCACAGAATCACAGATTAACACTACACTGGCACAGGCTGTCCTCAGACTGCATCAAAATTCGTCTTATTTATTTCTTCAAATGTGGAAATATTCTTATTTCTCTGTTTGAGCAATGCACAGTTATTTATTTCTGTATCTCACCCCAGACACACATTTTTACAGCACTGTGTTAGAACAGGCCTATAGTGTTCTGCCTGTATAGCACCAACTTGGGGATGCTGGGCAGCATCAACTTTTGTTTTCAGACCACATTTAAACTGGTGGAAAAAGGCAGCAGAGGAAAGAAAACACAATCAATCCCACAAATGTATAATTGCTTGAAATTGAAAACCTGAAAACCTTTTTTGCAGCTTCCAGAAAGTTCTTAATTCCCCTTACTGTGATTCATCCAGTATCACAGACCCTGTGTTAGCCCACTGAAACAAAAAATTAAAACCAAATAAATCAATATATATCAAAGTGACTGAGGTGCAGGAATAAAAGAAACACAGTTTCCCTCAGCTACCTAAGCACTGATGGCAAGGGTCATTTGAGAGGCTCTAGATTACATAAAACACCTATATGTTGTGGAGAGGGACCCTTCATCAGGGACTGGAGCGACAGGACAAGGGGTGATGGGTTCAACTGGAACAGGGCAAGTTCAGGTTAGAGCTAAGGCAGAAGCTCTTCCCTGTGAGGGTGCTGAGGCGCTGGCACAGGGTGCCCAGAGAAGCTGTGGCTGCCCCATCCCTGGCAGTGTTCAAGGCCAGGTTGTAGACAGGGGCTTGGGTGACATTGTTTAGTGTGAGGCATCCCTGCCCATGGCAGGGGTTGGAACTGGATGATCTTAAGGTCCTTTCTAACCAAAACCATTCTGTGGTTCTACATAGGACCAGTAGATATGATCCAGGTCTACTGGGAGATGCATTCCTTGTGGGAGCTACAGCTGAAGGTCACATAGGACAACACAAGACACCTCAAACAACTAGATGAATCAGGATCTTCAGTGACTCCTGCCTTGGCCGGTTCATTTATTTATAGGTTTTGCAGGTCAAAACAAAAGCTGAGATCATTAATTTCAGAGTTCACACACCAAAAACTCTTCCACTGAAACCAGCTTTTTTAATTGCTCTGGGCACAAACAGCTTTAAGAGTTTATTTTATTAGGGTAAAAAAGGTGAACCCCCCACCCCAGCCTGGTGTAGGATTTGAAGCAGTACAACACCGCAATATTCAACCCCTCCCAGTGTCAACTTCATTGTCCTTGATATCTTAGTACAGTACTTCAGACAAAACTCTACATATGGTCTGCTTGAAATAAGCTCCATGTAAATGCTCTAAGAGGATGCAGCAATACAGAGCAGGAGAACCAAAATAGTATATTACACTGTAATCATGTCATGTGAAATTACACTCTCAGCTCTCCTACAGCTGTCACACTACAAAACGAATCCCCAGATAGGCGTATGTATGTCCCATGTATGTCCCAAGACCTTTTTCCTGATAGCTTTTGTTTAGGAATCCACAGGCTAAAGACTAAGA